TAAAATTTTGAAACATTTACTAAATTTACTTTCTCTATAGTATTTACAAGAAATCCTAAAACAACCAATGCAACAGAACCTATTATGTATTAAAATGAAAAAATTATCAAAAACCAAACAAAAAAAAGTATTGTCAGTGACATTGTGTATTTTCAGAAACATTTAATTATATTTTCCGAGCTAAAGAAAAATCGTCAAAAAATGGCGCGGAATGAGTATAAGATATTACAATAAAAACTTTATAGATAAATGTAATGAAGGTGAATCAGTTAGACAACTAACTCCTCAACATATAATATTTAGATCTCTTTTGACTTCATACATTCATGTGGTAAAACCACTACTCGTGAAGATAAGGGAATCACCGGAGAAGTTCGAACAGATCTTTTTTATTGTCAAAGGTTTCGTGCTTTAGATTTATCGTTCACTGCATTTATTTTCAAGAAGTGGCAAGACGAATCGATTTAGTTTAGGTTTTTTGTTTGACTGACTGTGTACTCGAAAGAGCTGATGCGTAACATAATTAAATATAATAATGTTTGGTTCTCTTCAAGTTATTATTATTTAGTTAGATAAATTTTTAGATATAAAGTTGCTTTGTGGATCTATCGAAAAAATGCAAGTATACATTTATATCAAATATATAAAATATATACCTAATGTTTAGCGTAGAATATATGAACACGACAGAATAATGCAAAGGCATTCAGAAGCTGTGATAAGGGTGATTAAGTAATTTCGGAATGTTGAAGAACAGATGCGTTTGACGATAACTTGTTCCGTCTAACATGCCCAACGCATGTCTTATATGCGCTTCAAGTCCAAACTTAACACTAACCACTCATGCCGCATTTAATTAACTCTTATAAATCCAATCTCTATTCGGTTTATCTACCGTTTTCTTGTTATAGCTAGATGACCTCCACGAAGCTTTACCTGCACCCTAAATGTGAGGTACATAAATATGTATTTTTTTTACTCGTTCTTTAAAACCAATGGATTATAATGAAATATTTCAGAATATTCTTTCTTCTTCAAATTCAGAAGATTTTACGTCTTACCGATTATGATCACGTTCATTTCGATTAGTTATTTTATCTACCCTCATAATTAAATAACAAGATTGCTTCAACCAAATTTTTAATTTTTTCAACTGCTTGTATCAGCTATGTTATAGTTCATTTCAAAAAGTAAAATTATCTTCGAATCACCCCTTTTGAAAAACACCCAAAAGGAAAAGTTTACTTTTCGAATTTTCGTTCCACTACTTTTCTGGAACATGGGTGAACAAGAGAAATTTTCACTCCATAGATTGGAACACATTAGTCAAAACAACTAATTTGATATTTGAATTTATTTGGCGACCGAAAATGAACAAACTAACGTCGCGAAACCAATTATTGCTCTCAAAAGGTGCACATCAACCACTTAAATACATTAATTTTTGATTGTACGCATACCTGCACATTTTTTCGCACGTCACGCCCACCAAAATTGTTTTGAGAATTGCCAAATCCACCACCACCTCCGCCGAAATATGAACGTAAAAATTCAGGCACTTTCTGCGACGCGCCTTCAAGAATTTTTACTAAATCATTTGCCACAGCTGAATCTTGCTCCGGGTCGAAGAAACTGGTGGCACGTCCATTATTGCCAACTCGACCGGTACGGCCAATACGATGGACGTATTCATCAATAGATTTTGGTAGATCGTAATTTATGACATGCTGAACTTCTTTAATATCTACAGATTAGGAAAAGGAAACAATATTAGTAAAGCCACAAATAATTCAAAATCAATAAATGCGTATATGAGTATATGATGATTACCCAGTCCACGGGCAGCAACGGATGTAGCTATAAGTACTTTCATTTTTCCTGACTTGAAATCTGCTAAAGCCATTTCTCGCTGACGCTGCAATCTATCGCCATGAATAGAGGTAGTAGGAAACTCGGTTTCCGAAAGTAAAGAGGCTAGGAAGTCTGCACCACGCTTCGTTTCAACAAACACAATCGTTCCGTCACTGCTTTCGCTCAACAATTCCTAAACAATATAAAAATTAATATGTTATTGAATAAATAAGTTTTTGTATAAGTTGATATGTGAAGGAATATTACCATCAATTTGGAACGCTTCTGAAATTTTTTAACTTCAAAAATCTCCTGCGTAACATCGGAACAGGCACCACCAACTACACCAATAGTGATAAAAATATAATTTGATAAATAAGCTCCAGCTAAACGTTGAATTTCTTCGGGAAAAGTAGCAGAAAACATTAAATTCTGTCGTTCTTCCATTGGGCGCATTGTCGGATGATTCATAATCATTTTTACACTTTCTTTAAAACCCATATCCATCATTCGATCGGCTTCATCCAACACTACGTATCGTGTCTCCTCAAACGTGATAAATCCTTTATCAACAAAGTCTATTAAACGACCCGGAGTACATATTAGAATGTGACAGCCTTTAGCAATATTTTCGCCTTGATGTTTGCTTGAAGTACCGCCATAAACAATGCTAATTTTCAGATAGGAACCCAATGCAAACTTTCTAGCTTCATAAAAAATTTGTATTGCCAATTCTCGTGTTGGAGAAACAATAACCGCCTGCGGTTTTCCAATCGACAAATCAAAATTCTCCACTAAGATACCATTAATTATAGGCAACAAATATGCGGCCTGTAATAAAAATGAGAAAGCATTTTTAACCTGTAGAGAATTCTTTTAAATTTATAAAGACGAGTGGAATTTTCCAATATTACCGTTTTTCCAGAACCTGTTTGAGCACATGCCATTAAATCTCTGCCACTCATAATTGTCGGTATAGCTGATTTTTGTATGGGGGTTGGAACTATATATCCAGACTTTCTTACATTATCCATAAGCAAGTCGCGCAAGCCTGCATTCTCAAATGATTGAAGTGGTGCTGGAGCGTTATCGCCTGAGACCTAAAAATTATATAATTATATATTAAATATCAGCAAAATATGAGCATTACAGAATCGAAAGTTTCAAACATTTCGTAAAATACATAAGTAACTTAAAAATATATGAGTTTGTTTTAACTATATTTTGCAACGAAATGGGGGGAGCTACAGTTAGTTCTAAGCTGCCTCCGAACGTTCGGTAGATTATTATGGGGAGCTTTTGCTTAGCGAACGATCAACTCAACCCGAGTGGTTAAAAAATATATATTCAAGCTAAGTTTGTGGCAAAATTAGATTCTATGTATATATATATTATTTACCGATGTACTTTTTATCCATGATACGAACGAATTGATTAAAAAATATTTAGATGTCTTATTTTAAATAGCTGTCTAAATAATGTTCGATTATATGAAATATTTATTATATTTAGTATTATAGATGGGAAAAGAGGTTTATATTTACCCGAACTGGAATATTGTCATATTTGGAAAAATTAATTCCAGATGAGATACCGCTATTAAAGATTTCATCTTCATTATCAGTTGGTTCCGGAGGTATGTAAAATTCTCGTTGTTTCTGTTCTCCTTCGTTTTCTCCTTTATTGTTGTTGAAACCATTTGCACTACCACTAATATCATTGCGATCACCGCCACCAAAACCATTTCTACTTCCGCGTGCGCCACGTCCACCGCCTCCTCGACCACCGCGACCTCCCCGAAAGCCGCCACCACCATTTCGATCTCCATTTTCTTAAAACATGAGTATTTGTACAAATTTCTTTGAAATTAATCATTTTTAACATACTAAGACTAATACATTTATCTTTAAAAATATAATGCCAGTGCATGGTATACATATACACACATATGTATGTTTTATTACATAAATGCTGTCAAATTTTAAAATAACATTTCTATTTTGAGAGTATGTGCAATCATCATGTGTAGCATTGTGGACGCTACTTCAGAATTAGTATTAAGAGTATTTAATGTTGTACAAAAATTTTATATACCTTAGTAAAAAAAAATAGGGTTAGTATTCAGTTTTTTTTAACCAAAAGTATTAGGCACCCCACAAAAAAACAAGTAATCTCAAATGTGGCTATCAAAGTTACGACTTCTTTTTGTAAACGTCTTACATGGATGTATAACCGTTATTAAACGAATAAATTGTGTAATATTAGAAGTCATAGCACTCTGGGTAAGCAATTAAAATTTTAAAGTGAAAGTTTAAATTACATTTAGTGAAAAGTTACCAATCTCATAAAAACAGTTCATATTTACTGAGATTGGCAATTTGGTGGGATATTCGCGGTGTGCGGTCCAATGTGCTATCAGGCGATTTGTGGAGACGAAATCTCACAATAATAGATAAAAAAGTGGCAGAAAGCGTCTAACCAGTAAACGAGAAGTCCGAATACTTATACGCGAGTCTCTCAAGGATCGCAAAAAATCTTCTTCTGCAATTGCAGCTGCCCTTTCGGATGAATTCAGTAAACCAGTTAGTGCTCGAACAACCAGAAGACTTAAGCATCAAAGAATGCCTTAATTAACAAGAGGTACGCTATAAGTGCGGACGAATGTGCAAAGCTTGTACGCAGCATGCATAAGAGAATTGCTGCTGTTATCAAATCGAAGGATGGACCTACTAAATATTAATGTTATTATCAATAATTCATTGTATTTTCACTGTTTTACAAATAAAACTTCATTACTTCACTTGTTAAAACAAAAAAATCAGTAATTACTGGGGTGCCTAATACTTTGGCCAAAGTATGTACAATTTTTAAGGCGAAGCACTCTGGGTAGGTTGAAACAACCGTGTGCGAACATGACTTGCATTTTTTAAAAAACTTAAAATGTTACAAGTCTTAAAATAATTATTTTAAACCACCTAGATTTCTATGTTTAAATACTTTTATAATGTAGCAAACTTGACTTAAGCCGTTTATACATACATATCGTATGTAGTGGAGTGCAACAAAATCTTTTTATGATTGGAAATTACCACACTTACTAACAACCCTTTCAAAACTCGAAAAAATCAATTACAAAAATAATACAAATCTTATTGAAGAATAACCGCCGCAGAGAGCTGCGTAAATGTTTCTTTTTTCCAATTTAGGTTATTTAATGGTTTATTTTTCAATAGGTTTTAAAAATATCAGAATGATCTATTATTATAGTTTCTGGTACCCAGTCGTTGAGAATGCAATGGTTTTTACTTTTGATAATGTTTTGCTTTTTCAATTTAAGTACAACATAACTAACTTATAGAAAATTAATTTAGAGTGCAAATATTTCAATTAGAAAGGGAATACATATACTTTTTCGTGTTATTTTACTAGTGTTCCAATTCATATTAGTTCGACAACATATCCGTTCATTATTCGTATTATATCGGCAGTTTTAAGTTCCAGAAGAAAATGAAAAGCTACAGCAGCCAAATGTCTGTTTTTCAACAAAGGCGATTTGAGCAGATCGAATGATGCATTGCGAATAATCTCTTGCAGTAAGTTCAATTTTAACTGTAAACATTCCGATTTAGCATAAATGAGGGTGTCTGTGTCATAGGCATACGATGCTGACAATAAACCAGTAGAATATGTAGTTGATCCTATGTTTCGATGACAAGCCTTTAACACACGTTGCCATTCAACTAGGTTATCCATAATGGTGGAGATTGATTCGATATGTTCAAATACAAAATTATCGTAAATTTTTTTTTGCAAAATAGTCATAGGTACTTCTTCACGAGATGCTGATTCGTAGATGTTTTCAGATTGCACCAACACCGGTTCTAGAAGGATTGGAAAGTCATCTGCCGCCAACTGCGGTATTAGTAACATTTTGTCCGTGTTATTCATTTGATAGCTTAGCTGTACAGCAGTCTTGTCGCCAATTGGCAATAGGTGAGGACGAAGTCGACGTCTTTTACGACGCCGGGCAACTTTCTCAACCTCCTTCACATAACTAACGTCGACCTGCCGTTCTCGAAGCACTTCAAACCAATTTTTTTTTTCACATGCAAGCGGCGGTTCTTTAGGTGATTCGGTAGCGTGTATTGCTTCTGAGGTAATTTCAGTGTGGTAACTTTCTAAATCTTGGCGGTTAGAAATAGTTTGCGCATCAAAGGCCACATTAATTATATCTGCTGAAGTAGATGTCGCCCCGCTTTTTATATCCAAATTCGTGTCTCCCATACCTGGCTTAAGGTCATTATTAGTAAGTTTAGTGCTATCCTCAGTTGGGAAGATTTGAACATTTTTAACGATTCTGTTATTGGAAACTATGCTCATCAAAGGGCGCAATGGCGTGGAAGAGAGATCGGTGTCACGAAAGGTTCGACGCAACAACGTATGCCGAAATTCTTCTTCGCGTATCGAAGGCAACGTCGCAGTCTTGGATGTTAAAATGTCGGCGCGATGTGCTGAAGATGGGCCGGAAACTGACTGAACTAATTGGGATCTCTTTTCCTCGCTCTCATCTGAACGAGATGATATTCCCGTGGGAAACGGAATAGGATCCGGTGTAAAAAATGTACCATCTGCTGACAGTTCAGGCACAATGTCGCTTCGTTCCTGTTGACTGAAGTTTTGTATATTAAAAAAAAGTATTTACATTGGGTGCATTAAGTTATGGAAATAAAAAAAATAACTAAACAACAATTTCCAATTGGAAACCGAAAGGCTTTGGATTTATTTATTACGAAACAACAATATTATTGAAATTATGTACGTATTTGCAGAGCTGCAAACAAACCGAAAAAGCTTTTGGATTGAATCACGAACGAAATAATTTTATTTTTTAAGGGAAAAGCCCATTTGATTTATAAAAGAATTTCAATGAATGCATTTTTATGTTTTATAAAAAAAACTTTAGTTACAAATATGACCTCCATGAAGAAAAATTACTAAAAAAAAAAAATTTAACCTTTATAGCAAAATACAATGGACACACAGGGCATACACCTACTAGTAGATTATCGAAAAAAAAAATTGGTATAGTAATGTATATCTCCGTAGTCATCCGCCTGATGAATTGCATAAAAATTATTAATAAAATGATTTCGATTTATATAGAAGTCCCCTTTCAATTGAACTTTAACGAATCAATTTTTGAAGTAGCTTGCACGTCCCTCCCAATATTTATCTCTAGTGTATTTTATATACCCATCAGTTTCAGAATGTGGTGGCCAAACATCTCTAGTCATCTGGATTGTATCAATATTATCATCGAAATTATCAGTTGATGGCCCTTCCAATTGTGATTGCCCCAGTTGTATTGACGGTAGTCCGCCAGCAGGTATAGGTGACACATGTTGCCGTGCTACATTGATACTTCCTGATGCACCGTCACTGATCTCCACTAACTGCGATTGCTTCTCAGTGGACAATGGCACTAACTGTCTTACATGCCTTACACTAGTCATTGAATCATTAGCCCACGTTTTGCGTAATGGAAAGAAGTTGAACGCCATTATGCGAGCATTTTCAATCATTGGATCTTCATTTGCGACGATTTCTAAAAAAGTACGTGCTGGTATACGTTTTCTTAAAGCGCACTCTTTCTCCGTTATTCGTGTTGTAATATTTGGTGTAACGGCTAACCTTACTGCTTGAGCAGGTGCATGTTGGTAACCCACACTGACAACGTTATTTTTCCCTTTTCTGTTTGTTCTACATTGAAAAGACGTAACAGAATTTTTCGCCTGTATAGAATCAGATGGACCTTTTAATATTTCTGATAAATCAGGCAGCTGTGATTGATGGATGGCAGCAAAAACGATATCTTCTTGAAATTGTATTTCTGAGTCAGCTTTATTTTTGCCAATTATCAAATCAGACATTTCTATATTTCCATTAGTTATGCTTTTTCCGGCACCAACCAAACCAAAATATTCTTCATCAATATCATTCCTCTCTTGTACCAATTCATGGTAATCTCCAACATCTCTTATAATATTATCTGTCGATGCAGCTCCTGCGTGTTTGCTCATTTCGGTGGAAATATAAATTTTGAACGCCTTTAGCGTGTATCGGGCTAAGCAATAAAGTTCGAGGAGATTTTTTGACCTTCGCACTCGATCCGGAGCGCCGGCTAGGAAGTTTTCAACAGTAGCTCTTTCAAAATTATCTGGCACAAAACTGTTTGTTGTTTCTGATTGGTATTCATTTGATTGCTCTAGAATGTATGTACGTGTATGAAGCGTTAAAAAGGAGAACAATTAAAATATTATTTAAAACACTAATTTGATACTAATTTGACCTTTTTTCACTCAAGTTTAGGTGCTATCTTAGGGCTAATGAAATTTTAATATTTGAAATTTTATTTTGATGAAAAAATATATTTTCCCACATGGGAAAATATATACATGGAGTATAATTTTAAAAATTTAAAACGAAGAGCACTAAAGGGGGGTTTATAATAGAAGGTTAACTCAATTTTGCACATAACTTGGATGGGTGTACATACACCAAACAAGTGGAAAAGGTCGAACTGATTTTCATGCCGAGAAGAATTACTCCGTACCAAAGTCCCACAGACTAAAAAGTATGATATCATTCCTGCTAAATAAGAGGGAAGGGATCTGCAACGTTTAAATAATAAAACATCAACTACGGACAGAGTGGCTGTCATTCCAACAGCACACACACATCAAATGCAAATTGAAAAGACTTAAAACACAATTGAAAAATCCATACATAAACAAGAATACATCTTCGGGGCATACATTTATGTGGAGGCCATTCACAAGAAAGCCTTCGGGCAAGCATCCCAATCCCATAGAGTATTTGAAAACACAAATAATTGAGCCATAACATATGGAGGCACTGTCACATTGAACCTCCGCAGTAAGTCAAACATACCTGCCTACTTGGTATAGCAGGCATGGTCAGAACTGCCTTAAATGCCCCGAAAATTATCTTTGATATCTAGCGAATTTTTATACAACTCCGACTAAATTAAACTCAGAGGGCAACGCAGATTTTGCTTAACTTAATAGTGACTATAAATTGCAGAGCCGGATTTTATTAAAATAAAATGAATCTTTAATTTTCAAAACAAATATGTTTCAAGGTTCAAGCAACAAAAAATTCGATAGGAGAAAATGTGTATAGCTAGAAGCGTATTTCAATCGTTTAATGTTTATTGGAAATTTCGTTAAGGCTTCATTTTTAAGTGAATGAATAGTATAATATGTCTTCAAAAATATGCTATCTTTTAAACAGTACAAACGTAAACAAACAGACATGTAACGACTTGGCTATCGTAACGAAACAGCGAGCACGCATAATGCATAGAATATTTTATTTATGCCATCGACGTCGTAATCGAATATCGAACAGCCATCGGCAAATGAACTCACAAGAATGCTTTCTTTTAGAGACGAAGTTCCAAAACCTAAAAACTAAAAAAGAAATGCGAGAAGAGGACAATATACAGTGGCGTCCCTTGCTAATTTTACGTAGTGTGACCTAAAAACTCTATTGATGCCTGTCAACCACTCAGGTAGTTCTTGGAACACCTCTTCCACCCGACGTTAATGAGGATTCCTCTATGTCCGATGATAGTAGTGCGTGGTTGACCGTGTCAAGAACTTTTGATAGATCCAGTGCTCCTATATCAGCTCGCCCAAGTGCAAGTTTGTTGTTGTAGTACACTTTCCGAAAGCCATGTTATTGCACTGCTGGATGGTGAGTAAGAAGAGTATTTAATTACATTTTCCGTAAACTAACCTGCTGTTTCACTGCAGATATTATTAGTAACTTGCATTATGAATTATAATGTATACTATAATTTATAGCGTAACCAAGTAAAGTTTGAAATTGATTTTTTTTCTTGTGACTTTACAGTTTTTGTTTTTGTTTTTTTAAATATATTCGGTTTATAGGAGAGTTTATTAGCGTTTCTAATATCTGGACGTAAAATAGTTAAAATCAAACATTTACTTGGTTTATTTATTTATACTGATAGGATAAGTGTTTCAGTATAAAAATCTGCATATACGCAAAACTAAAAAAAAATGTCGTCTTAGTGCTGTCATGATAATTTTATTGATTTCAAGTTGATCTGTTAATGCATGTAAGTAGCATGTATATACAAGTAGAAAAAAAATAATGGGCAAATTGCTCGGCAATGCCACCAGCGTGGAAGTGTTCTGAACAGCAAATTTACAAATCCGAAGCTAAGCTACCAAGTTACTTAACCAAGAAATTTTGAAAATGGCGTCGCTAAGAATTTGCTACTAGCCTCGGCATGAATTCAGAAGGGTGGACCCGTCCCCCGCCTGCACCATGAAGGTGTCAGGTAGAAAGAGACGGGGCCAAATTCTGCTCCACACACTAACCGTGCGTTACGACCCGCTGTCGTAGCAACGGAAGACCAAGCAGCGTACTTCCCGCGTCTGCCAGCAAATTACTGAGAGGAAATAGGGTGTGACGTCAGCCACTGAGCAGATCTGCTAATTAAACACTAGCGATTCAATGTTCAATGTGCCAATGTTCACAAACAGAAGACACACACTTCCATCGTATTAACAATTTACATTTGTTTTTACATTTTCGCGATTCGAAAATGCTTCTATGAATTACCAGTTTAGAAACATATGAACGAAATACGCAGTGGCGTGTGTCTGTTGGTTTGTGTTCATGGTAAGAAATCAGATAAAACAGGGTGGTCTGTGAACTTGAATTTTATTCATTTTCATAAGAGCTAATTTTTTTAATAAAGAGACTATTCAATATTTAAATTTTTAAATAAAGTACGTTTTTTAAAACCAACCGTTTATTAGGTAACAATAACAAGTGAAATCTATTAGCCATGAATATGGGATGAATTTCAACCAAGCATCTCAAAAATAAAGAGTGTCGGGAAATTATGGAGACAGTAGCATATGAAGGCCAACAAGAAAACTTTATATAAAGTTGAATATCTTGTGATTTTAAGGTTTTCTAAATGGTTCTCGAATCAAAAACGGCGTAATTATCGAAATATTGGTTTAGGATTAAAATTGAAAGCTAAGATCAAATGTGTAGTGTACAGTTGCAAGGAAATACCCGATACCTAGACTTCGATGGATCCAAACGCCAAGTGAGGAAGAGGGCAACGATAAACAAGCCGTAAAAAAGAGGAAGGCTGACAAGAGCATTTTTCAAAAATTATGTGAGAAAATATAGATATTTACTAAATTTCAAGACCAGAGCATAGTCATGCAGGACCCAAAGATGTGATGTAGCAATTACATGACGATGACGAGAAATATATATTCCTTTACCCGACTATGACCAATTACAAATGGCGAAGGCAACAAAGCAACGGAAGATGATGGTTTACCGAATATGGTTGAGAGTAACTGACCAAGTGCATGGATCAGCTTCTGTGCAGAATATGGTCGCATGAGTGCGAGTGACAATAATCTACACAAAAATAAAAAATACTTACAGTCGCGTACTACGTAAGCGACTGGTAAATCTACAATTGACCACATATTCGTCATGATGCGCCAAATCTTTTGGAAAAATCGATTTTAAAGCAGTCTTCGATAGTAAATCTCCTACAGACCAAACTAGATTTTAAACAATGTGATTCTTTATCGGTTGAATCGTTTAACTTATTACAATGGAAATAATTGCTCCGATTTCTAGGTTATGCGGTTCGGATGGATAAAACACCCAAACTTGAAAGTATTCAAATACCTGCTGGTGGTGCAGAGGAAGAGCAAAGAGGATAGTGATGATTAGCTGAAGAACCTGGATTAACTAGAAGAAGAAAGGACTGGTGTGCTCCACTGGGACATAATGGTGTTAAAGTCACCTACGGCAATAAAGGAGAAGTACAGATTTCTAGTAAACCCTGGAAAAAGATTAATGGAAGGCTGACAAATTAAAAAAAAATCGGCATAGTATTCGCCAACAGAAAATCTGTGAGGAAATCAAAAATAAAATGCAAATTTTGAAGCTGTAATCTCACTTTCCGAAAATGAATGGATTTCGCTATCGAGAGATGATTAATGATTTTTTGTGGCTAAAATTGGATGGTGGAAAACGGTTACTTCAAATAAACGGCGCTACGCGCTACAAAAACAACGAAGCCAATAATCAATCTTTTAAGAGAAAATCAACACCTCTTATTGGAAACATAATTTCGGAGCTCTTTGTAACTAACAAATCCGGAGATCTACATTGTTTGAAAACACATTGAATAACAAGTTTCAGATGAATTTATATTTACTCGCCAAATGATTCAACACAGCAGTAGGAGGGAAGATGTTTAAAAAATAGGATATAGCCCGTTGGACTCTTAAAGAATTTCGTTATTAAAAAGTAGAGGTCTTTACACATGATATATTTATTGGGTGGAGCTCAGGAGTGAAAATTAGATATGGTGCGTGGAGACCATTCCATTTGAAGCATTGGAAATTTATTAAGTTCTTTGGTTCTTCAAAATTTGTGGAGCGATGCACTCCTTCCAAGCTTACATAACTGGCGTTTTTCAGCAGTTCTTAGTGTTGTTAAAAGTAAGCTAACAAACATGGCAGCTGTCAACCGTCTTACCAGGCACACTGAGTTTAGAATCTAGTAGACACTTTAAATTCATTGGTCCACTGTCCACCTGAGAATTGAACTTATGCATTTAAGCATGCATGCGTATGCGCATATGTACACATCTGCTTGTTCATATATGAGTATCTCAAATAACGGGAAGAAACCTAATGCCTGAAAGTATGCCGGGAAAATTGGTTTTAGGATGATTCATGCTTAAACAATAAGGTCAAATAAAAAAAAAACTGAAGTGGCAAATCAATACAATACCGCTCCATATCATCAACTCTCCCGTCAAAAAGGCTCGTTTCCTTGACCTTCAGAAAATGTTGTTGTTGTTGTTGTTGTTGTTGTAGCGGTTCGCTAACTCCGCTTAGGCACAGGCTTAATCAGTCTAAGTCGCCGAGGTCATCTAATGGTAGGCCCAGGAAACGAGCTGTTTCGACGGGGTTGGACCAAAGGGAGAGGGGGGTTAGATGAGTAGGTTTGAGGGGGCATGTGAAGAGGTGGTTAGTGTCGTGCGGGGATTCTCCACATGCCGGGCATACGTTAGGTATGCTGGGGTCTAGTCTGGATAGGTAGGAGTTTAACCTGCTACAATATCCAGACCTGAGTTGTGTCAGGCTCACGCGGGTCTCT